TCGTCCATCATGGGACGAAGCTCGTCAAAGCCGGAACCAATTCTTACTAAAGCATTAAGTTAACAATAAGTGAAGAAAGCCATCTGAATCTATCCTATTCGCTATATATACTCACAATCAAAAACGAAAATACATAGCTATAAATAGATAGATAGGGCACTTTTATTTCAGTGAATGGGCTTGTGCGTGTGCGGATTGTGTAATTTTGTACATCTGATTGGATTGATCGGTTCAATAGTCCTGTCTAACTAATGTGAATGTGGCTAGGAACATCAGTGAGTTGAAAAGTCATATGGTGAACGAAAGCTCAGCCCATTTTCATTCGAAACGAAGAAGGATGTTTCTCGTAGACCGTGTCAACCTGAAGGTAATACTAAGGCCAAACGGCGATCACGGTCGTATTCCGGTGGGATCGACCTACGGAACTCTTCAACTTGCACCTTTATACGAAATGAAAGTTCCCTCATCTATGATTGGTCGACAATCTTGTGAGTCAGGATGAAGCATGATTATAAGTAGTTATATGAGATGTATTCTTGAGACCCTACTTATTAACAAATTTGTAGATAGTGTTTATGGAAAAGGAGTGTTTGATTCGAGTATTGTGTCACAGTTGAAGTGCAAATGAATAGGGATTGATCACTAGCATCGGATAAGAGAACCATCCTTTCGCAAGTTTGCTTCTTTTTGGACTCTTTTTTTAACATACATAACATCAGTTTAACCGCACATTGTCAGTCTCCTTTTCCATTACTCAAGTGGTTTGACCCCATTTTCACAATCCGGTCGTGTGAACACGTGTATGTCAGGCTACGAACTCACCAGCACTGGCCCGCCATCTTCTGATAAGATTGACCTGCGAATCTCTTCCTCATACATTTCAAATTGGAAATGAAAGGAATTAATCGCATCTCAGACATTCTTCGTAGATTGTAATCATGGGTCCTATGAATGTCTAGTTTTCCTGGAAAGTCCTGCTGGAAGGTGTGAAAATGGTGTATGCGACAATTGGAGATAGTGTCCTTTGCTCATTCCTGTCCATTAAATAACAACTGTATGCTGCCTAGGTTGCATAAGGTGATGAAGGACTGATGGTTGAATTTTGCACACAAATTCACGCAGCCTTGCTTTCCTGTATGAGAATACACTTTGAGGGTCAAAGCTATGTGAATGGAAACCTGAGGTATACTCATTTGATTGTGATAGTATATTCAACTATTCGTCTTTCAACACATTATGTGGCCTAGGTTGAATATAGTTCTCAGCATTCAAGAATCACTGATAGTCTTCAGACCTACTTATAGCGGAACTAACACCAATAACTTCTTGCTGCAAGCTTACTTTTTCCATTTAAAGGTTTCCTATGCATCATCATCTTTTACATCGCAACACGTAACATAATTCTG